TTTGTTTTAATATGAAATATTCTCTAAATATTATTTTAGTTATCGTAATATAATCTCAGCTGTCACTCTTAGAGTGTCAGAAACTGGGCCTTTTACCTTAGGCACAAACGATGCCCTTCTCGAAATCGAAACAAAACATTTTGATTCATTTGAAAAAAACAGACATTAAAAGAAACTGAATTTTGAGTGAAACGAATTGATGAATAGGACTCGAACAATTCGTAAAATTCATTGTAATTGACCAGACTAAATATTAAACACCCTTACTCACATACTTCAATCGGGGGTTTTGTAATGATACAAAACATATGAACGAGTAAATCATATCGAATATACAATCATTTTAGAGTTTCTCGTTACGTTAGTGTAATGAAGGGGCATGCTGTCTTAGTGAAATCCCACGTGTACTATTGCGTATCCTAAATATAACGTATGAGTGATTGCAAAACTTGTGTAAATTCAAAGTGATCAATATAAGCTAATAGTAAATCAATAAATACAGGTAGACAATGGATATCCAGAATTACCACTAAGCTGTGTATCAAAGTCGGATAAATGATTTATAAACATCTTTAGAATTATATTATATTAAACTGTGTTAAGATAATATTGACAGACCAATTACGTGTGCAGTAGACAGATGTATTTATCTAAGACCCGATGCACACAAAAGTGGAAAAGGTCGAAGAAGTTGATGTATTATTACGTAATTAAGCATCTTCTAAACCACTAAACAACTACTAAATTTAGTTAACAATTTACTCTGTATAATTAATACCAGTATTTTTAATTAATTTCTATTTCACTATTGTAGTACACACATTGTTACTTCTTCACATTTTATACTTCACTTTGCATCGCCTCGTAAGACGAACTGTACTAACTTACTACCTCGCGCCAACTATTTATGTGAGGTGGTCATGTTCTAGAATGATCCAGAATGTGACGTCTAGAATATGTGCATGCTAATAATTTAAGGTCGACATCTTGACACACACTCGACACTAGAAAACCAGTAGCCTATGTCTTTCCATAACAAAAATTGCGATAAAATGTGAATTATTTGCGCTGTTATGGTTATTGTAGAAACAGATTGAATAACTCAATGATTTTCACATCAAATTGACGACCTTAAATTCATAGCGATCGCAGCATGTCAATACGCGTAAAGAATGATGACTATGAATAAGGAGTCAATTCTTAACATGTGAAAATCGTACAGAAACTTTCATAAAATAGTAGAGAGCGTCGCATCATTATGAATTCAAACCGACACTGAACAGATGCTCGATACTTTAAAAATCCATAAACCTATATCATTGCATGTCAAAAATTACACTGAAATGAAAAGTAGAATGGGTTTCATCAACATTGCTATGGCTACCGCAGAAATTGACCGAGTAAATCAATGTTGCAAACTAAATCGGTGACTTTGAATTCATAACGATCGCAAGGCTTCTACTACATTTTCCGGCAAAACTTTTATTGAGAGATTGGACTCCTTATCTAAAGCCTTCATGGTGAATAGCATTGAGGTTAGAGTACAGGAGAACGAAAGCCCTTACAAATGGTTTCCCATAAATTTGAGAAAAATACCATTATATACTTCGTTTAGTTTCTCTAGCGATGTGACCTTTAGTTTGACCGGCGCAAACTAGAAAAGAACAGCACTAGGCCAGAAAAGAAAGGAGACAACTCTCGGCCAAACTCTTAACCGGTGAGGAGCGTATAATATGTACGGAAAAATTGACCATTTTATCCACTAAAAGTGCATTGCTCAAATGTGCTGTTATCGGTACCAATTACTACTGAAAATATCAACAAGATGTTATTTATATTTAAAGACATATTAAAGGCTTTAACGCTTGTTTTCGACTCGCACTACTATTCATGATTAAAGAAAACTTTTGGCAGGTACTGTATCAAAAATTATGTTTCATGAACAAGAGGCGAGAGTAAAATGAGCTTCTTTCTCCCTACCTACGATTTTGCCAGCGCGCCTCCAAGACATTGGAAGGGGCACATCGCTAGAAAAAATAAACGAAGTATACCAATATGGCGCAAGCGCTAGGTGCCATAAATTTTGTAAATTATATTATATACATATAACGTTCGCCTCCTGTGTGCTCTAACTACCATGGTGCACAGTACTTCTCACATGTCAATTAGGGAAACCTTTCTGACCTAAATTAATACATACATTTAATTCCTGTATTCATTTAACATATATGTCGATCAAGGAATCCTTTTCCAACATAACCTAACTTCAACATGTATGTAATATCGCCTAAAGAAGTTATCGTGCATCGAAACCATCGTACTGATTGCATAATAAATTTTTTGAAAACCCAAAAACCTGAGTGCCTTTTTCTCTATTTTACATAATATGAAATTTCAAAAAGTAACTGCCTAAACAATTGCTACAAGAAATAAAAATCTTACTTACATTGCTGCTTTTCGTTTCGTCGGTAAGGATAGGTAACGTTGTACCATGGTCTGATTGACAGCATTAAATGACGTCCAATACATAGTTCCGCCAATTATAACACTGATTACCGTGTGTCTTTCATATAAGCTCGTGCTTAAACTAAGAAAAAACTTTTATGATATCAGAATGTAGGTAATATAGCCTGATTTCCAAACAGAATATTAACCAATAAATGATGCTTTAAAGTCTTATCACAATAACATACACACAACTAATATTTTAATTAATTAGATATTTTGTTAATAAGAAAACAATATTCATACAATGTAGAAATCTTCCCGAAGTGAGTTTGTTTTAATATGAAATATTCTCAATTTTTACCCACTACACATTACCTCAAATTAATGAGGAAAAATTGTTGCTGTTGTCACACCCCCGCCGGGAATCGAACCCGGNATCCAACTCCCATTAAATATAAATTCGTTCGTTCAAAGCAATTATCAGAAGCATTTGCTCCTACACCATCCCCATCTAGGGCTGTACTGATTCCCACAGCCTACCAATTCTTCAAGGCACTTACATGCGGATTCTTCGTTCCATTTTTCCTCATTAATTTGAGGTAATGTGTAGTGGGTAAAAATTGAGAATATTTCATATGAAAACAATATTCTTAAAATAACAAAATAAATATTACCTAAAATAATAACCAAAACAAATAGTTAAATAATATTAATTTTAAGGATTTCTTAATTAATTAATCTTGGGAAGAATATCATATCAACATCTATTAGTAAAATAAACTCTTTCGACATTACTTACTTTAGAAAAGAAATTCTACCTCCCTCCACACTCCTATTCCATACTACTGTAACTCCTCCTATTGTAACGGTACCAAGAATTACAATGACAACAACAGAAATAAACATAATCACAATCTGCCACGTATCTGTCCAAATTACAGCCTTTATACCACCCTAATTTAAATAGAACATTTACAAATAAAAAAAATTAGAACAAACCAGTTGTCTTAAGAAAGATTTCATTAGACCGTTTTTAATATTCGTATGCATACTCAACAACTAAATCAAATACTGCCTCATTATTGGTATTTATATTCGATTCCCGACTCCTGGTAAAAAGTATGGTACGATTCCGCCCCGAAAAATACCTACCATACTATACAGAATGTTTCTGAAGTGGCCAGAGCTTTGGAGGGTGTTAACTAGATACAGTAGGGAAACTCATGGTGAATACAGCAGCGTGTTTAAGGGAAAAATAAATTCTAAGAAAATTGCAACAAGTTACAATCCGAAGCCGGTCCTGGGCATGATTTGGCAACGTGAATGCAAATTATGATAAGAACTGAGCAGCTGCACATGGATAGAATGCCGCTTGTCCAAAGGCTAAAGTAAACATAAACCACAACTTACTGCTTACTTATCGACGAGTTATTGCGTTATTGGTTCCGAAAACACATGCACTATAAACATTTTTAGATATTATCATTTAGTACCATCAGTATTATACCCATCAAATACAACTTTAACATTAGTACCATACTTATTACGTAAATATTTGATTTAATTTTGTTAAATGGAAGATAATTTTTGATTTTGGTCCCAGTTCAATATATGAAGTTCCATACCGCCATCAATGATAAAAAAAAAAATATTAACATCATTAACATTTGTTTTAGATTGTTGAAAAATATCGTATAACGATGATTTTGTAGTTTTCCTCATTTCAGAATTATCAAATAATAGGAAAAGAAGATTCCGTAAATATTGCAATTATTGTTTAAAAAATTTAAATAATTATTAACCACGACTGCGACAGGAACTTTTGATATTAAATTTTCTATAAAAACGTTTGACATTTTCATAAATATCGCGAACAAACATTTTAAAAGTAATTTCTCCAGTAAATTCAGTTTTTATTATTTAAACAATATAAAAGATTATTTCCTGAAATTGGGANGTATTGTCTAATGACAAAAAAGCTGTGATTGTTGTTTATAAAGACATTCTATAGTACATTTACTGTCAGCATTGCACCCGTGCGAAGCCTAGTGTACTAATAATACCATTAAACCAATTCCTTAACCCCTATCCCGGTATTTTTGTGTGTTTGAAGAAGTTTCACTTCAGTAGCGTGTTGTATAATTGCACGTTGTATTTTTTTTTATCCTACGACATTAAATATTTCTTTAATGTAGATTTCAACTTCTTATCTTTTGCATGCCTTTGTTTTCTTTCTAACTCTATTCTATTGTCCCTAATCACCTATACCTAGAAATCTAACTTCAACCATTCGTATATGCACCTCTTACAAAAGGCTGGTTTTTCCCTTGATTACCTTACCTCCAATTCTGTACTATTCAACCCCTTCAATTCTGCGTATTTCTATAAGCTCGTGTCTTCAATAGAAGCAGATGTCATTAAAGTCTTGCTAGTATCCGCCTCCCCTCAGAATCTTTTCCATTTATCATTTCCCTTTATCCCCCCATATGAACTAAATCTTTCGGATTTCCCCCCCCCTCCTTCCCCGAACGTCTCGACGATCGTGGCAGGCAATCTCAATATCAAACACGCCTCCTGGTGCTGCCGACACACTAAAAAAAAGGCATTTCCCTTCTTGCCAAAGTCCTCGACCTCAACCTTGCCGTTGAAGCGCCCTACGTGCCTCCCCGCCCCACAATCAACTTCCTGACATTCTTGACATCTTCGTCTTAAAAAATGTCACTCTTTCTGCCGATCCCACTGTTCTCGACGCTCTAAGCTCCGACCACCTTCCAGCTCTAATTGCAGTCGGCCGCCCAACCCTCAATCCTCCAAACCTTACAACTTCGCTAGATTGGCTACGCCTCCGCTACACTCTCTAAATATCCTCCTTATATGCACTTCAATTCGCACAATAGCAGAACTTGACAAAGCTGTCAATCTCCTTTCAAAGGAGATCGGCAGTGCCATCGAGCTCTCCACGACCTCCCACCCCTCGTCTTCCCGGCAGATATTCTTGTCATCGTCGAAAGGAAAAACAGAATCCAACGTTTGTGGCAAAAACACCGCGATGCCGCACACCATGCCGAGCTAAACGAGCTCCAACGAAAACTGAAAACTCGCCTATCAGAATTTCGTAGCGCCACCACCTTCGACAATTATATCGCTCAGGCCGAAACACACCCCAAAAGCACTTGGAAAGTAATCCGCTCTCTTCGAAACAGAGCCCCACACCTCCCGCCGCTAAAACAAAACAGCTCCATATTCACTTCTCCGTTTCCGAACACAGTTTTGACAAAATAAACAAGCGCCGTCACACTTCCATGCTTCTGCTCGACATCTAGCAAGCCTTCGATCGAGTTGGCACGAAGGTCTCATCAACAAACTTATCGCCCTCAACACCTCACATTTCCTAATCGGGGTTATCCATTCCTTCTTTTCTGACAGAACCCTAGGTGTCCGCGTTGACTCTACTTTATGCCTAAGGAAATCCGTCACGGCTGGTATCCCCCAAGGTTTGAAGCTGCAACTTCTTCCATTCAACCTTTTTTGTGCAGACTTGCCGTCCCATCCCTCGATCGTCACAGCTCTCTACGCCGATGACATCGCCCTCATAAACTCCGCCTAAACCATTCTCCAGTGCTCCGCAAAAAGTAACAAATTTCTGCCCTGCTACTAAATTGGTGCCGAAAATGGAAGCTCTCCATTAACGAGGCCAAGTCGGAAGAAATTTTCTTCTCCCGTAGGATACGAAAATTTCCCGCCATCACCGTTAACAACCAGCGGAGCAACTCCGTTACTTACCTTGACGTCGTCTTTGACAGAACATTGACATGGCGCCACCCGTCAAGGCATTAGCCACCTTTATCTCCCTCAAGCCCTTCTTCCAAAACAGATCCAACTCCCATTAAATATAAATTCGTTCGTTCAAAGCAATTATCAGAAGCATTTGCTCCTACACCATCCCCATCTAGGGCTGTACTGATTCCCACAGCCTACCAATTCTTCAAGGCACTTACATGCGGATTCTTCGTTCCGCACTTCACTATCCCTGGTAAATCAGAAACATACAAATTCTGAAAGACACTGGTCTACCTTCACTCCCCAAAGCTGCAGTTAGGCTCGCAGCTAATCTCCACACCTCTGTGTCAGATCACCCGAACCTGTCCATCTCGACACTTTCCGACATCGCCCCTAAACCAAACGACCGTTTCAGAATGCCCTGCCACCTGAGCTGCTTCCTTTCCGCTCATTCCTAGTTTCGCTTTTTTAGGGCGAGTGCCCACCCAACTCATCCGAGGTGGGCCATCCATTCCCATTTCCGCCCAATGCTCCCTTCCTACACCGATTCTCCTTCCCGTTTCCAACCTCTTCCCATTAAACCTTTCCTGTGATGTATACCCTACGGGTTGATTTCCCTACGCGAGGAGGGGTTTTAGTCGGTAGGCGCTTCGGCGAATCCGACACTACCCCCATTCACGGGGGGTCTTTTGAAGATTTCCCCTCCTCAATAAAAAATTAAACAATAAAAACTATTTGAGTCAATTCTCTACGTTCGACAGTCGTTTCTACATTTAGTAAGTTCTCTTTTTGTGTTCTACATTGTTATTGTTGTTGTTATTTCTTTGTGTGTTTTAGCTATCGGATTATATTTTTTATGTTTATTTTGTTGTTTAAATTTTATTGGTACATAAATTTTGTTAATTGTTTGAATAGTGTTTTGTTGTTATTTCTATTAATAATTATTCAAAAGACACTAAACTTAATTTTTTTATTTTATAGTGCCTTATAACCTCCTGCAGGCTTTCTACTTACTTCAGAAACACCCTGTATAAGCTTTATGTTCTATTATAGACATTGCAATGTAAAATAAATATTCAATTGTCATGCCGACTATCAAACAGAAGGTAAGGCACGACAACAACTCACATCGTTCGTGTTGTCTATTCCTACTGTAATCATTCACGCATCCGCTAAAAAATGCTTGTTGGCAGCACTGCGAAAGTTTGTACATTCAACTGGGACGGAATAGTAACATCAAAATTACTAACTGATAGAGGTCCAAATAATTTTGTAATACAGAGAGATATAAAAAAAACTACGAGTAGTAGCTACAATAAGACATTGGAAATCTAATATAACTTAGGTAAAGCCGTACAACGCCATCCGGTGGCGACACCCTTGCCCATAACAACTGACAGAGTGAAAACCCCGTGGTGACTAATGCTGGTGGGCGGTGAGTCCCTCCAGCTTGCATTCAAGCGCAAAGCTGTTTCTTTCGCTCTCAAGTTAACATTTCTAAATCAACCTGGAAGCCTATTCTCAACTTTTTTGTTATAATAACGATGTCGTTAAATTATTCGTGCAAGGTTATTATGATAGCGTTCACTCTTTTGAGGCATAGAGGCGGTACCAAGCTTGAAGATCCCCGCCATCGACTCATAATAACGAGTGCTAGCAACATAACGACAATGTTAACAACAATAACAATTATAACGAGAAAAGTTGAGAAAAGGCTCCCTTGTTATAAAAATCAAACCCAATGTGCTCAATAAAGACAACTGTTTCTATTACGTGAGGCAGTAGTGTCTTAATTATGTTGTTTATAAAATTATTTTTAGTATCTACCATAACAAATACGGTGCTCAACAGTGCAGTTACATTCGCTTATTGTGCAGACCAACTAGCCATTTTAATGAACAACCCATTAAAAAAAATTAGTATTACGGCATGCACAAATAAAAGGGGCCAAAGAAATGAAATTTAGAAAAATTACAAAAATATTAATTCTATTAAAGCTTTAATGTTATTGTGACAATTAAATAAAAAATACAAAACATTGCAATATATTATGAAAGTAATTTCGAATGTAACTTTAAAAGTTGTTCTATTATTGAATATTTTTTGAAACGTACTTTTTTTTTTGTTTTTAGTATCT